GGTGCAATATGGCGGGCGGAAGGCTGTTTCTGTTTGCCCGAGGACACATGGGGCCGCTGAGCCCCGAGGAGGGACATCTGGCTCGCTCGACGAGATCCGTCGGGCTAGTCGCGAGGAGTTCGAGGGCCTGGCGGTGCTGAGCCCCGAGCCGGAGGGCCTGGAGGTGGCCGGCGGCCTGGTGCTTGGGGGGGGCTCCGACGGGGAAAACCTCCCCCATCGGTGAGGGAGGGCGCTCCAGCGACGGCAGATGTCGAAGACGACGACGACGTGGGCGATGCCGCCGCGCCCTTGGGGCCGCACATGGGGGCGGACTGCTCTTGGGCCCCCCCCCGCAGCTGGCGCGCGCGGTGCGCGAGCGCCCTGGGCTGGGTTCTGACCGAGCAGGGGCAACCCGTCCGGAGTCTGTGCGACGCCCGTGCCCAGGTGGCGCCCAAGGGGCGGTGCGCCTTCGGAGAAGTGGCCGCTGCGCGCCACCTATGGGGGGCACGGGGGGGCACGACGTTGCACCCAACACAGGGTCTGGGTTCAGATGATCAGTCCCGGGGAGGTCCTCCGACCTCCCGCCGACAGCGTGCTCGTGCTGTTCGAAGGAGGGGGGAAGCTGGGGCGCGAGCCGATGCTCGCCGCAGTGGAAGTGCCCGTGACGATGGGCTAGTGGACGGGCCCAGGCAGGTCGGTCTTCGACCCGCGCTCGAAGCGCTGTCGGCGCATCGCTGGGGGGCGGGGTCCGCCATGCTGGGCCGCGAGGCCCAAGATCGAGAGCCGAAGTGGAAAGCATTCGCGCCGACACACCACGGGGACTTCCGCGCGGCGGTAGATGGAGCGGACTCGTGGATGCGGCGCAAGTGCGCGACTTCCCTGGATCAGGATAAGTCGGGGGAGGCGCTGGGAACGGTGGGCCGTCGGCGAATCCTCGGAAGCGACTTGGACTTAAGGGCGAGAACGCGGCTCTGCGCAGCGCCAGGCCCCCCCCCCCCCCCGGCGATGGCGAAGGCTCGGCTGCGTGTGCGGGGCCGCCGCGACCCCGACGCGAAGTTTGGGGCGGTCAATTATGACCGACGCCCCCACAGTGCAGCGGTCCGGCTTCTACGCTTTCCTGCAGCTGTCCGTGAATCGCGGTTGGCTTCCCCAGTTGTCGATGGGAAACATCTCGAGCGCGCTCCTCCAGGGGGGCCGCGCCGGGGCCAGGAAGCGCTGTGTGTGCGACGGCCGCGGGGCGGCCTGCCCAGGTTGGAACTGGGCTAGTTGTTCGAGATCGAGAAAGGCATATGCGGGCTGCTGGACGCCCCGCAGGCATGGTTCAACGCCTTCCGCAAGGCCCTGGTTGAAGAAATCGGCTGGGAGCAGCTGCAGCTGGACGAGGCCTTCCTCTGTTTCCACCGAGGCGACCGCCTTGTTGGCATGTCGATCGCCCGCGTGAACGACTGCGTGATCGCGCGCGACGGCGGCGCGAAAAGCGGAAATGCGGGGCAAGGGGGCGCCGCTCAAGGACAGGTTCCCTTGCGCGTATTGGACGGTAATGTCAAAACAGGCCAACGGCGATATGCGCGCTGGCCGCCTGGTCACGGTGTACGGGAATTGCGTGGAGGTCGGCGTGCCGGAGTTTATCGACGGGCGCCTGGAGGAAGCCAACAGTTGCTGGACGGAGAGGGGGGGGGCGCCGCTCACACCTCTCGGCGGAGCAGAGTTTCAGACGGCGGTGGGTCCCCTGCGCTGGCTAGCCAGACAGTGCCAGATAGTGCCGGATAGACGAGGCCTTCGAAACGAACCGTTTCCAGAAGCCGCAGAAGAAACCCGCCCATGCGGACGCCCGTGAGCTGAGCAAATTCATCGGGGACCTCATGGCCAGCCGCGACACCTGCTTGCAGATCGCGCTTATCAAGGGCCGCATGGGGTTGGGCTGCTGACGCGACTCCTCGCTGCATGGCAGCGTCAGCGAACTCATTGAGAAGGGCGAGAATCTCAAGAGGTTCGACCGTCGCAAGGTGAGGTCATGGACCGGGGCGGTGGTGGCCGCCGTCGACATGGGCTGCATGGGGCAGGAAGAGCTGCCAATGCCCATCCTGGATTGGCGCAGTCGGGCGCGGTTGCGTCGACGTTCTCCGCCGAGACGGCGGCGCGCCTAGTGGGCCGCGGCCTGGCCCTTTGCATGCGGGTGCTCCTGCGCGAAGCCCCGCATGGTTGGAGCGGCGCGCTTGTGGTGTAGCACGGTGAGGCGCAGATGCCGCTTGCGCTGTTCACCGATTGTCGGTTTCTGTGCGATCATATGAAGATCGAGGACAACGTGCCCAACAATCGGGGCGACGTTGCGTGGCTTGCCGCGTTGAAATCTGTCGCGTCGTGCGGCCCGCAACGAGATGAACATGAGGGTGGTTTGAGGTGGTTTCCTAGCTGGTGGATGATATCAGACGGGCTGACATAAGGGGGTCTTAGCGACAAAGTACGGGAGCTCATGGAGGCGAGTCGAGCCGTGCTCGCGCGCGTGAGCCGGGTGCCCGGGCTATCAAGCGAAGCGAGGCGACATGTGACGGGGAACAGCGAGGCCCTCCGTCCCACCTGGTCCTCTCCCCCTCCCGCGCGAGCGTCCACCGCGCTGCCGCTGGAGCCCAGGCCAGCGCATGTGCGCGCGAGCCGTTGACTAACTGCCTCCTCGCCATGCGTAGTCGAGGCGACGTGAGGGCGTCATCCCCGTCGGGTGGCGACGCCGGGCGGCGGGGCCGCAGTTGGACACCGCCTCGCGCGGAGCGCGTCGCGGTCAGGGAGGAGGCGACCGGTGGTCGCCAGATCGCGCCGCCCAAGGCCAGGCAGGCGCCGAGCGGTGGCGCGCCAGCCCCGAAGGAGCGCGAGGAACGCAAGGCGGACAAGAGCATGAGGCGGGGGCCTCAGTTCGGGCCGGAGTCGGGGCCCGCGGGCTGGGCCCACCGCGAGCGCGGCGGCGACGGCGCGGCGGGCGAAGGCGTGGCGGACGAGGAGGAAGGTCTGGAAGCGGACAATCAGTGCTTGCGTTCAACCGGACGACGATCCAGGATTTGGACGGCAGCCGCTGGCTCGTCTGTCTCGGTAAGTTTTCGAGCGGCGCGCCCTGGCCAAGTGGCGCGCCCGCCCCCGCGTGCCTTGGAGGACCTGGCCGAGCGCTGGAATGACAGGGCGCGGGGCGGAAAGAAATTCGCGCGGTGGAATCTGGTGACTGCGCTGCAGGGGGAGTTCCCGGCAGCCATTGCGTCCCGGATGCTCGTGATCGGCGGGCGGGCTGCCTGCCGCTCGGATCGCTTTGAGAAGTGGCCCGCCAGGCGAGGGCGCAGGAGAAAGCGCCCTACACTATCGTACATCGCCACCGGGCTGCTTTGAGCATCGAAGAAGAGTCGGCCTCGTCGGGGCGCGGCGGCGCGAACGTGGAGGCAGAAGAGGTCGCCGCGGAAGAATGCGAGGCGCGAGTCCGTCGCGCGTCGGCCTCGGGCGCGGCCGCAGCAGGCGCGAGGATCTCGGGAGTGAGCTACCCCGCCGCGGGCCACGGCGTCAGGAACACGAGGGGCGCGAAAGGGAAGGTGCCCGAGGGCGAAGGCAAGAGGGGCGGACCTGTCAGCGAGGAGCCCAAAAAGGGGCGCAGGGGCGGCGCCCCCACTGCCTCGGGGGGGCAGTTCGCTCCAGGGAGCATTCCCTCGGAGCTGTTGGCGCCCGATGTGTGCCGCCTGTGCTTCCGGGCCGGCCACTGGGGCATTCGGTGCCCCCGCTTCCTCGCTGATGGTACCCCGCGTGACGGGCGCTGGGGGCCCGCGCGGACGATGCCGCCAGTGGCGGCAGACCAGTGGCACGAGAAACGGGGTGGCGTCTCCTGATCAGGCTTGAGCGGAGCGCTCGACGTCGCATGTGCTGCCTTCTATCAACGCCATCCTCCAGTGGAGGGCGTTGTCGGGGCGGAGTCCCGGTAGAGTAACATTGTCCTCCGGTGGAAGGTGGAGGGCAGTTCGGGGCGAACATCCCGCAGGTGGCTGAGTCGCAGCCTGCGTCGTCCTCCCGTCGAGGACCTTTCGGGGCGAAGATCCCGCAGTGAGTCCATCCGCGATTCCCTGCAGCCCCCGGCGGAGGTGCGTTTTTGCGTTTCCAGTGGAGGAATTTTCGGGGCCAAGATTCCGCTGTGAGCCCATCAGTGGTTCACACCAGTCTCCGGTGGAGGCTTGTTCTCCCGACGCAAGGGCGGAGGGGGGGGGGGCTTGGCCTTTCTGACCTGCCCGCAGCGGGGCACGACCGCTCCTTGTGGAAAAGCGCGTCACACATGTACAGACCCTCTTGGGCCGTCTTAGGGGCCATTTTGGACCATCTTAGGCGGACTTGGAGGCCATCTCGGACTTGGGCCATCTTGGCCGTCTTAGAGGCATCTTGGATTCTTTTTGGGGCCATCATGGGCGTGAAAGGCATTGACTGTAGCAGTTTGCGGCCCCTTCTGGGTGGCCGGCGGGGCGGGCCAGAGCCCCAGGGGAGAGTTCATTTGGAACAAAAACTAAAACCAGCACCGAAAGGATCCAGCACGCCGGGCACCCTTGTGACAAACACAGGGGGCGGCGGATCCTGATTGCCTTCGGCCCATCCGGCCCCCGTGCCCGTGCTTGTGGGTCAGAGGCCTCTTCGGTGCCTGTTGGGGTCTCTCGGGGAGAGTTTCGGGAGCCTTTGGAGCCAGGTCGGAGGAGGCCTCCAGGGGTCCGTTTTGGAGCCTTTTGAGGACCAGATCGCGCCGCATCGCCGATGCATCGGCGATGCGGTTCGATGTGGAACTCGATTTTTTCACGACGACGGCGCCAACGGATCGCCGACGTCGCTGGTGCTTCGCTCATGCATCGGCGATGCGTCGCGATCCTCTGACCCCATCTAGTGCGACCCCGTCTGCGAGGCCTCTTAGGGACTGAGGACAGCGCAAGGGAGCTGAGGACACTCCATTTCGTGCCTCCCTCGCGGCACGGTGGCGGACATTTCGGCACCCTGTGTTCGCCCTCGCGCGCCCGAAGGACAAGCTCGGCGCCTGCAAGAAAGACCGTCCCAGCCGCTGCGCGGAGACGGGGGGGGGGAGCAGGCGGGCGGAGGCGCCCTCTCGGGGCAACTCGACCGACCGCCTCACAAATCCCGGCCAAGCCCATCTTGGGCCAAAAGACTTGGGGGCGGCCAAGGGGGGGGGATGACCTCGGGGTGTGTGTACATCATGGCTGGGATTATGCTATCTGCCTAGATTTCGTGGCCCTTTCTTCTTGTTTCAATACGTCCCTTGTTTCAATACGTCCCAGGTGCCTCGGACCATCACTTGCGCACCCGCCTCTTGGACGCCCCTCTCTTGGATGCCCCCACTCCGAAGGTTCGGCGTCTGCGCCTTCTCAGTGCGAAAATGGAAGCACGTGTACGGAGCCTGGGTCCAGGATCGGTTAGGTGGTCAGCTGCTGTCCAATGCCCACTTCGGTCTGATCGATCCGATTCGATGTCGTTTTCGGCCGGCACCATCCGCTCTGGTTCCGATATTCGCACCGTCGGTTGCAGTTCGATGCTTGCATGGCGCTGCTCTGCATTCTGGCGCAGCCGATCGGAGTCGATTCCGATCCCGTGCCGGTGCGGGCCGATCCGGATCACATCTCGATTCGGCACGATTTCTAGGTTCGATGCTGACTGGTCCCGCCCTTCCGCTCTGGGTGGGGGACAGGGAGGGGCAACGTCGGGGGGGGTGATAGGCTCAGGGGGGAATGCAGCGACCCCCGATCGCCCACTGATCGCCGACAGGGGCCTGAAAGCTCACCCCGCCCAGGATCGTGCGGTTTCGCCATGGAGGGCGTACCTCCGATCTATCGGCGATGTATCGCCGAGTCAAGTTCGATGTTCCGTTTTTCCCCCCCTGAGCGGGTCGGTCCCCTTCCTATCGTTGCCCCTCAGGAGGCGCTCTGTCGCGCGCTGCGCGGGCGCCGCAGGCAGAGCGCTCGAGGTGCCAGTGGGTCCCTCGACATCAGGGGCCCTCCCCATAGGGGCGAGTCCCACCTGTGAGGGTCATCGCTGCCAGCTGCCACGGCCACTGTCTGGACCAGTCCCTCTCCACGCGCGTCACAGCATGGATCTCTCCACAGAGACACTCGGTGCCTTCCAAGAGAAGGGGGGCGAGGGGATATTGGCGGTGGCAGAGTCTTGAGTCTTGGGTGCCCCTCGGGAGAAGGGAGTCTTGAGCTGGCGGTGGTCACGAGAGGGAGTCTCAATACTTCTCATGAACCTCCCCCTCGGGACCACCTTCGACTCAAGACCCCCACTGAGAGTCTCGGCGTTCTTGCCAATTCCTCTCGGCGTTCTCACGATTGGCATCGCCCGGACGTGTGTATTCTTTCTCGGCCAACACCATCGTGGAGCATTTTGGATCATTCTGCGAAAAAGGAGCGCACGAAACCGACACATGCACGGGCAGTGGACGTCCGATCGATGGCAAGCACGGGATTCCCGAGTGTTGAGTGCCTCCCCCTCCCCAAGAGAAAGCGAGGCGAGGGCACACTGGCGGTGGCAGAGCGAGGGGCCGCGGCCTCCCCCGAGCATCTCCCGCCGGGTCAGAGCAATCAACAATCCTGACGGTAGCCTATGCATGGCCTATGATAGATCCCCTGTGGGCCTGTACACAGGCTATTTATAGGTCTGTCACAGGCCCATGCATAGGATGTGCACAGGCCTATCGTAGGCCTGTGTATAGGGTGTATACAGGCCTGTGGAAGCCTCCGTCGCACAGTCTGTCCACAGGCCTGTGACAGGCCTATGCACAGCCTGCCCATAGGCCTATCGATAGGCCTGTCGACAGGTTTATGCACAGCCTGTTCACAGGCCTATCGATAGGCCTATCGATAGGCTGCCTCGGGGTCTGTGTGCTCACGAAACATAGGCCTGTGCACAGTCTGTGCATAGGCCTGTGCATAGGCCTGTGCGCACCCTATGCATAGGCTTGTGACAGGCCTGTGAACAGGCTGTGCATAGGCTTGAGATGCGCCTGGGAGAGGGCCGACACTCCAGGACAGGCCTGTGTATAGCCTGTGCACACGCCACAGAGCCGACACCCCGCGACAGGCCTGTGGTGAGCCTGTGCACGGGCCTGTCACAGGCCTGTGGACAGCCTGTGCACAGGCCTGTGGTGGGCCTGGGAAAGGGCCAACGCCCCGCGACAGGCCTGTGCACAGGCCTGTCACAGGCCTGTCACAGGCGGCTGTGCACAGGCCCGTGGTGAGCTTGGGAGAGGGCCGACGCCCCGCGACAGGCTTGTGCATAGCTTGTGCACAGGCCTGGTGCAGGCCTGTGGACAGCCTGTGCACAGGCCTGTGGTGGGCCTGTGGACAGCCTGTGCACAGGCCTGTGGTGGGCCTGGGAGAGGGCCAACGCCCCGCGACAGGCCTGTGCATAGCCTGTGCACAGGCCTGTGGACAGGCTGTGCACAGGCCCGCGGCGGGCCTTGACGGGGGGGGTCCGGACCCCCCCCCTCCCCTCCTTGGCGCTGGAAAGGGGGGGGGTCGGACCCCCCCCCTCGTGTAGGGAGTACGGAGTTGGGAGTAGGGAGTGGTGAGTAGTGAGTAGCGAGTTAGTGGGTAGTGAGTAGTGAGTATTGGGTAGTGAGTAGTGGGTAGTAAGTGGCGAGTCGGGAGTAGGGAGTAGTTAGTGGGGAGTAGTGAGTAGTGAATAGTGAGTAGTGTGTACTGATAAGTGAGTAGTGAGTGGCGAGTAGTGAGTAGTGAGTAGCGAGTAGCGAATAGTGAGTACTGAGTAGGGAGTAGAGAGTAATGAGTAGTGGGTAGTGAGTAGTGGGGAGTGAGTAGGGGGTGGCGAGTAGTGGGTAGTGAGTAGTGAGTAGCGGGTAGTGCGTAGTGCGTAATGAGTAGTGAGTAGTGAGTAGTGAGTAGTGAATAGTGAGTAGTGAGTAGTGAGTAGTGCGTAATGAGTAGTGAGTAGTGAGTAGTGAGTAGTGAATAGTGAGTAGTGAGTAGTGAGTAGTGAGTAGTGAGTAGCGAATAGTGAGTAGTGAGTAGTGAGTAGAGAATACTGAGTAGTACGTAGTGTGTGCGTGCTGAGTAGTGAGTAGTCAGTAGTGAAGAGAGTAGTGGGCAGTGGCAGTGTTAGTGGGTAGTGAGTAGTGAGTAGCGAGTAGGAAGTAGCGAGTAGTGAATAGTTAGGAGCGAGTGGGGCGTAGTGGGTAGTGAGTAGGGAGTAGTCAGTAGTGAGTAGTGGGTAGTGATTAGTGAGTAACGAGTAGGGAGTAGCGAGTAGTGAGTTGTGGGTAGTGAGTAAGGAGTAGGGAGTAGCGAATAGTGGGTAGTGAGTAGCGATTGGTGAGTAGTGGGTAGTGGGTAGTAAGTAGTGATTAGTGACTAGTGACTAGTGAGTTGTTACTAGTGACTAGAGACTATGTAGTGACTAGTGAGTAGGGGTAGTAAGTAGTGAGTAGTGAATAGTGAGTAGTGGGAAGTGAGTAGTGAGTATTGAGTAGCGAGTATGGGAGTAGCGAGTAGTTAGTACTGAGTGCTGGGCAGTCAGTATTGTGTAGGGAGTAGGGGGTAGCGAGTAGTGGGTAGTGAGCAGGGATTTGTGGGCAATGAGTTTAGTAGTGGATAGTGGGTAGTGGGTAATGAGTAGTGATTAGTGAGTACTGAGTAGTGCATAGTGCTTAGTGAGTAGTGAGTATTGAGTAGTGGGTAGTGAGGAGTGAGTAGTGAGTAGGGAGGAGGGAGGAGGGAGTAGTGAGTAGTGAGTAGTGAGTAGCGAGTAGTTGATGGTGGGTAGTGAGTAGTGGATAGTGAGTAGTGAGTAGTGAGTAGGGGGTAGTGAGAAGTGAGTAGCGAACAGCGAGAAACCAGTAGTGGGTAGTGAGTAATGAGAAGTGAGTACTCTTTGGGGCTGGGGTTAGTGGTTGGGGTTCGGATTGGGGGTTTGGGTTAGGGTGAGGACTAGGGGTAGGGGTGGCGGGGGTCGGGTTCTGGAGTCAGGGGGCGGCGTGGCGAAAGGGAGGGAGGGGGGTGCAGGGGGGGGGTCGGACCCCTCCCCCCCTTTGCAAGGGGGGAGGGGGGGGGTCCCCGACGACTGATCGGGAAAGGGGGGAGGGGGGGGGTCCCCGACGACGGATCGGGGAAGGGGGGCAGGTGGGGGGCATTCCCCGACGACAGATCGGGGAAGGGGGGGGGGGGTACCCCCCCCCCCCCCCTTGGGAAGATCCAGCGACGCACCCTCCTTTTCTGGGGTGCCTGCCATCCTTCCTTCGCTTTTGGGCTTGCATTTGAATATCTAGAGGTTATGGGATGCCATTTTGGACTTGTCCTGGGGTTGCCTGGGAGATCTGGTCCACGCTGTCCCAGAGCTCGCAGCCTGCAGATCAGTGCGCAGCCTGTGCGCACGTCTACCACATGCCTATGCACAGGCTATGCGTAGGCCTGTCGCGGGCCTTGGGTTCGGGTCTGTGCGTAGGCTATACATACGGGAGCGTCGCACCCTCTACAGGCCTGTGCATAGGCTGTACACAGGCCTACCGCAGGCCTACCATAGGTCTACTGCAGGCCTTTGCATAGGCCTGTCGCGGGCCTGCCCCCCCCGATAGGCCTACCACAAGCCTATACGCAGGCTCCGCATAGGCCTATCACAGGCTTGCGTACAGCCTGCCCATAGGCCTGTGGAAGGCCTGTGCATTGGCTGTGCTTGGGTCTGTCGCGCGTGTTCGAGTATACTCTCGCGCTGTGCTCAGGCAGAGTAGAGACCTGTGCACACCCTGTGCATAGGCCACTGTGTAGGCTTATGGTGGGTTGTGCACAGCCTGTCGATAGACCTGTCATAGGCTTTGTCATAGGCCTATGCGCAGCCTGTCGATAGTCCGACGACAGGGCTATGCATAGCCTATCGACAGGCCTATCATGGGCCCTCGTTCTCGCTGGGGCTCTCCCTCGCTCGATCGTGTCGTCGGCGAGGTTCGTCCCAGCTCAAACTCCGTCGTTTCTGCCGAAGCCTCTATGGCTCATCTACCCCGATGTTCCTGCTGTGGGGGAGGGGAACCGCCTGTATCAGCTTGAGCCCAAACGCTGGCGCTGCATACGCGCATGTTAGTCACTTGCAACATCCTAGATTCCCAGTGCAATCGCTCGGAAATCTTCAGAAATCACATTCATATTATTTTCTGTAACTAAGCGTGACACGCAGCAGCGTGCGCTGGGCCTGACACCCAGTTGAACAGCAAAAGACAGGCGTCGCTGCAAACAGCGCAACACCCGTGCTGATCGCCAAAATGGCGTTGTAGTCGCACACGGCGTAGTGGTCCCGCACGTATCCGTCGAGCCTGCTCCCTTGCTTTACTCACTGGCTTCCATCCTTTCGTACATGTCACGGAGGCGGATGGCTTCATCTCGGCTTTGATTTCCTTCTCCTTGCTGGTACGCAAGGTCTTCTCGATCTCGCGATACTCCTTCTCTCGCTTCCACCACGTCGTGTCCGTGTCCACCAGCAGCATGCCACACTGCAGGCACCGGAGCTTGTCCTTGTACTGGTTGCTTCCCTGTGTGGTCGTCACATTGTGCTCGCAGTCGCCTATGCGATCTCGGGCCATCTACTTCCCCTTGAGCTTGCCCTTGGCCTTGCTCGTGGACTCGTTCGTCTCGAACTCACTGCCCTTGGCTCCACGCTGCACGGAGGCATAGGTCTTCTTCCCTCGACGACACTCGTCGCAGTTCTTGACCACCAGCTAATACGCCTCGAGAACACCTTCCTCTATCACGTCGCCGAACTCGTCCGCGATCTTCTCGTACGATGAGTGTCCGCTTCTCTCGTGTAGCGCGCGAGCCTTCAGCATCTCCTTCGTCGGTGTAGTAGATTCCTTGCGTGGGTGCGGTACCTTCTGCCAGGTCCCTACTTCCTCGTCATCATCGTCTTCGTCATCAGGTACAGCAGGTAGGTCGTCGGAACGCGCAGAGGTAGATGCCCGATGTGGCTTCTTGCGTGTCCTCGGTCCGCACTCGCACTGGTCCAACGTCATCCGACACAACGCACACACCGTCACCGTCGCAGCTGCAGCGGTGCCTGTCTTGATCTCCTCAGACTCGGCACCCGCAGCGTCCATCATGTAGATCTCCGCGATGTCGGTGCTATCCTCCTTCACGTTCTCGTCCGACTCGACGTGCGCACCAAGCTCCTCAGTGACACCTAGCTCCTTCTTGGGGTCCTCATCGTTCGTCACCTTCGGCTTCTTGATGGTGTGCTTCTCCGTGAAGTCCTTCTCGTAGCGCTCGAGGGCCGCCTTGGTCGGTGCGTAGATCGTCAACAGCTTCCGCACCTGGGTCGGGATCCTCCGACGCTTCGTCACCTGGTCTAAGCCAGACCAGTCGACCATATCCTCGAGCTTCTCGTAGTAGATATCGTCCTCGCGCTGCCCGAGCATCATCCGCCAACGAAGGTAGGGCTTCGGAGCAGGCTGAGCCACTCGCGCACTGTACCTCACATCCGCAATGCAGTCCTCGAAGTAGGTGTAACCCTCGTGAACAAAGAGCTGGTCAGCAGGTCGCTGCCTCTTGAGATACTTCGAGCGGTAGTATTCACCTCTGCGTCCTTTGAGCTCCATCCTCTGCTTAGCGATGATCTGGTCCGCCATGAGATCCTCCGTCAGCCGGTACTCACCGGTCTGGAGCACATACCTCATGTAGTCGCCAGCGCGGACGTCGTGCTTGGTTAGGCAGTCGGCGAGCATCTGCTTCGTGCTCACCCACTTGCTCACCACGTCGTTGAACTCCAGATCGTTCCTGAGCGACTCGATATCGATCAGCAGCCGCTTCTCGAAGGGCACCGTCCCTCGCTTCTGGAGCAGGTCGTAGAGCGACTTACAGTCCGTGACTTCCACCATCTTGATCGCCTTCACGTCGTCCATGTGGGTCCGGTAACCGAGCCCGTAGTGCAGCTCCACCAGGTCCTGCCTCAGCATGTCGCCACTCTCGACCGCCTCCAGCGCCGCCATCGTCTCGGCCGCCAGGGTACTGCGCACCACCCGCTTGATACGGTGCGATCGCCACAACATGGGAGTGACCTCGGCTGGCCTCCCGTGAAGCAATTGATCGTCCTTGTTGTCTGCGAGCAGGATGACCAGGCCCGCCTGACTCGCGGTCTTCGTCTTGCCCACGTTGCCGTGGCTCGAGTCTCCAACCGCCACCACGATCGCGTCGTCTATGTTGATCTTCTGGAAAGTGATGTCCACATGGTCCGTCTTGGCGTCGCTCACCAGCTTGTTGAAGTCCAGCAAGTCCTGGACCTTCAGGTCCTGTCGTGAGCCCTCGCTTGACTCTCCACCAGTCGAAATGCCAAGTCCATACGGGTAGAGCGCACCAGCCACTGGATCTTGCCGTTGCCGCTGTGGAGCATCGCCCTCTCCTCGGGTGTAGCCTTTGCTTCCTTGTCCTTGCGACGCTCGTTTGAGATCGGAATCTTCTCGATGCTCTCGGTGTACTCCCTCTGGCTGCAGGTGATGGTGCCATCGTCTCCCTGCTTGAGGAATCTCCCGCAGTGGTGGAAACTGGTCTTCGCAGTCTGCCATTTGCCGTAGCAGTGCATCTTCCTCAGCTTGGTCACCTGGTTAGCGAAGAACTTGGGCGAGCTCGCTACCAAATCGTCGTCCACGTGCGTCCCGATCAGGCCGATCAGCTTCTCATTCTCGTCGTGGAAGATGAAGAGAGCCGGGCACAACTTCGATCTCGACGCTCCTGGGAGAGACAGTACGGTGTCGCGATGCTCCTCGTACCACAACAGAGGTGCATCATTCAGCCCGTAGATCCCCTTCTTCGCTCTCAGCACTGTACCTTCTGGAACGGCTGGCCAGCCCATCTCCGGTACAGCCGGCAGGCCGCCCTTCGGCGCGCGGAAGTACACGCGTCGAGAGCTGTCGAGGTACTTCCCGTTCAGAAATGCCGAGTCGACGTCGCCCTGTTCCAGCCTCCAACCCGACTGGCTAGCGGCCTCCTGCAGGATCACCGCCGTGGTCGTGTCCGTCAGAGTGGGGGCGTTGGTCTGCAACTCGCCAGCGAGCAGCTGCTTGTCCTTGTATCCTGGAACAATGTTCCGGGACTTCGCCTTGAGTGGGTGCTGCTCGTACGACAGGTTGCCCCTCGTCGCCTCGTTCTTGTCCGTGCGAACGCGCCTCATGGGCAGGATCGCTGTCTTGTCCACCCCCGCGAGCTCCTCCTCGGTCGGCCAGTCCACTGCATCGTACTCGACCCACTTGCTCCACTCCTCCAGGTCGCTCGCGTCGAAAGCCGCCTTCCACTCCTGTGGGATGCTGCGGATCTCCCGACCCTTCTTGGGAGTGACCTGCTTCTTCGTCGTGTCGGTCCTCCGGGACAGAAACGCGCCCCTCTGGCGGTTCCTGACCTTGACGAAGAGTGCTTCCTGATCCATCGGGTCGTCTGGTACCTTCGGAAGGCGCATGGAGCTGCCCTTGAGAGCCTCGCGTCGTAGTCGTAGGCGTTCGCGATCTGCCTCCTGTCGGGCCGGGCGAAAGGGGGGGATTGGGAAAGGGGGGGTTACGAAATTTGCTGCATGCAGCTGGTTTCGGCCCCGCCAAGGGGCCCATTCCTCGATACATAGCCGCCTCCGGCGCCGGGAGGCGCCGGAAAATCAGCTACGCGAGCTGATTCTCAAACCCCCCCTTTGCTATCACCCCCTTTCGCCCGACCCGATCCTGGTCGTCGGGAAGCGTTCGCTTGTAGCTGAGTCGTGGTGCAGGTTCTGGTTGCTCAGCTCGATCTGATTGCTGTTGCTGTTGATGCGGAATACCTGGCGCAGCCGCCGCGTCCAGGTCCATGGAGTGCCCCTGCCCAGCTGCCGCAGCAGGTGGGTCTGTAGCTTGTTCTGGAGGAACCGGTCCTCCTCCCGGCAGTGGTGGTACTTCAGGTAGGTCTCCAGGTGCAGGTACGTTCTCCTCTTCGCGCTCCTTCTTCGGTGTCGCCTCGACCACTGGCCGTGGCGGTGGTGGAGCCGGCTCGGCACGCGGTGCCTTAGCCGTAGGCGTGTCGATCACACCGTCCTCGTGGTCCGAGTCCTTCTCGTCCCTCTCGCGGCGCACGCCCGTGTTGTCGCTCCCGTCTGGCCCAGGTCCACGCTCATCAGTGAACCCCTTCTGGAGAGTAGGTCCACCACGCCAGTGAGAGAGCTGCCTGACCAAGTCCTCGTTCTCCACCATCTCCGCCTCGCTCCGGGAGGCGTGTCGCACCTGCTCCGGCATCACGAGCACCGGCACCCCGCGGTAGCTGAGGTGTAGCCTCGTGTGGCCTTCGGTCGCCAACACGATCGCTGGCCCACGCCACCCGTGCTCGCCCTGGAGCCTCTTCGACTTCACGTGCTTCACCTCGTGCCAGTAGAACACCAGCTGGCCCGGTACGAACGGTCCACGCGGTGGGCGAACTCGGCCAACCATGGCCCTCCTGACGGCGTCGTCGCTGTCCAGCTCGAAGAACGCCCGGTTCGCCGCCGCACGTATCTGCTCTGCTCTCCTCGGGCCCTCCTCGAAGAGAGCCGCGCTCTGTGATGCCAGCTGCCTCTGGTCGCCCTCCATCGCCTCGATCAGCGAGGCTGGGATGCCAGGCGACCGGCCCGGCACGTATTGGTAAGGGGTGAAGCCATTCCGCCGAATGTGGTTGTTGCACGAACTCGCTATCACCGATGTCCACACATGTGGAGCGTCGCCCTTGGTGAGCTGCACGTCGCGGTTCAGAAGTCGATCGCGCGCTCCACTCGACCCTTGAGCTGGGGCGCCTCTGCTGGGACCGGCCTCATCAGGATAGTGTATTTCTCTCCGATCTCCGCGAACCTCTTCGTGATGTGACCCTTGGCCGCGTCGTAGTACAGCACCTTGGGTGGTCCAGCCCACGATAGCCAGCCTTGCGAAAAACATCGCAGGCTCTCCTCGCCGGTGATGGACCTCACTTCAGTGGTAGGGATGATTACCCGGAAGCCCGACGCGTCGTCCAAGATCACCATGACCATCAGCCGGGTCCCGTCTGCTAGTATCACCTCGGCTTCGTCTAGGAACGCGTTCTCGTTGAATTCCGTCGAGAGCTTCAGGTTCGAGCTTCTCACCGTAGTCGGCCTGCCGAGCTCCTTGCACACGCCGCAGTCCAGCTTGTCAACCGCATCCAGCACTTGCTGTGACGCTCCGTAGGACTTCAGTCGTCGCTTCAGTGCGTGAGCAGAAGGATGGCTCAGGGTGAGTTGTAGCTTCTTGAGAGCGCCCCACTGGGCCGTGGTGATGTCCGATGTCTTATCCCCGAAACTCTCACCCTCGTGTTGTAGGTCTCGACGTGCTGTGTCAGCTTCGCGATCATCTGGAGCGAACGTCTTAGGCTTGCTCCCGTGGATGTGCACCGTCGCATGGAAGGACGTCTGCACCTTCGGCTCCTTCACGAAGACTGAGATCACAGTCTCAGTGGGGAACCGCTTGACCAGCTTGATCGTCCCGAAGCCCGGGTCGCCCGCGTAAGCGTCGCTGTAGTCCGCCCGTACGCCCTCGCTGGATTACATCGCGCAGATGCGCCGCACTGCCCCGCGAGGGGGCGGAACCTCCTCGTCACCCGTCAGCACGCGCACGTCGATCAGGTCTTTCCTTAGCTTGAACGCCTTGGCCACTGCGTTCACGATCTGCTTGCTCGGGGACCTCGCCGTGCCGTTCTCGATGCCCATCTCCTTCGGGATTGTCCGTCGTGCCAGCTCGTGCGTGCCAGCCCGCACCAGAGCCTTGCCCAGGTCGTCGGGCCAGGCGCCCGCTTGTGCCAGTGCCGTGCTCCACTCGACCATGTCGGCGTGCTGGTGGCTCCCGTCGCACCTGCGCTCGAGCCACCAAGGGAAGCACGAACCGTTGGGCACCATCATGCAAGTCGGCTTGCGAATCGGGTCGCCGTAGTTGTCCACGAGCCCGTACATGCACTGGTGCAGCGTGACCGTCTCGTAGAGTGGCGGCTTGTTCCCGTGCCAGCTCAGCAGGTCCACGATCGGAACTTCCCGCCACGCCCGGCTGGTGAGGGGATTCTCGCCGATGCCGATCCGTCCTCCTTCAGCCTGAATCTTGAGCACCTCCGCCGAAAAGTCGATCAGCGGCCGAAACTCCTGGATGAGGTCGTCCACCCTGTCGCCCATGCCCTGAGCACGCTGTAACTCTTGCATATTCGTATGGGCGGTACACGGGAATGCGACCGAAACCATCCAGGGCTCGAAGGTCCTAATCAAAAACAGGAAATCTGATCGTGTCCGAGGGTCGTTAAAGTTCACGCCAACTGACAGGTCCGAGGGGGTCGCATTCGCGTGACCACCCTTCGAGGCTACATGAGTAAAACGAGCCTCCTTCGCGAACAGCTCTTGCAGAGAAACGTCTCGTTGTTGTCGCGCAGCACGTCGAATATAACCGCATACTCCTTCATGAGCATGTCGATCCGCTTGAGCGTACCCTTCTTGAAGATCCCCTTGTTACCGTTTTTCGTTGCCTCCTGGACCCACCGATCGGCGTCGTCCTTGACCCTGAAATCTGGCTTGGACACCTGCAGCGTCTCCGCGACCAGGAAAACCTCCGGCTCGACTTTCTCGACGTTGATGCGGAACTTCTCGAAGAGGGGCTCCGCCTCGTACGACTGCAGGTCGTAGTCGAAGATGTCGATGCCCGCGTGGCCGCCGGGAAGCTTCACGAGCTCCTTGTCGTACACCCCGAGCTCCTGGAAGTCGGCCCACTGGCCGTCCTCGCGCAGGTAGAGGTTCGTCTTCCAGTCCGCCAGGTTCTTCTTGCTCGTCAAGCCAATCATGTCACTGGGGATCTCGAAATACTCCTGCAGGACATGCTTCTTGCCAATACCGATCGGGATGATCCACTTCTGCTTTGCCTCACGTCGTGCGCCGCCAAGTCCCTTGAACTTCTGGCTCGCCTCGACGATGATGGGCCTCAGACCGTACTTCTCGAGCTCCACCGCGATCTTATCCAGCCAGCCGCGCCCTGCTACCGCTACGGAGGCGCCGCTGTCCACCAGGGTAGCTGGCACGATCGTGCTCGAGATCATCGCGTCCACTTCTGGCACTTCCAGTAGGATCGGGTCGCTCTCCACGTTGACCATCATGATGACGTGCTCGGCTGGCTCCTGGAACTTCTCCGTCGCGGGCTCCGGGTCCTGGACGTCCTTTTGGTGGAACATGTCCGGCATGACGCACACCAGTGTGGTCATCGCCCAGAAACCCAGCCGTCGTGGACGGGATTGAGCCTTGGAGGTCTTACCGCGGCCCTTGAAGCCTTTGCCTGCCGGCCTCGGAGGTCGTGGCGTCGGGCAGTCCGGTGCAGCATGGTCCATTCTCCCGCAGTTGGTGCACCTCTTGTCCTTGGACTTGCCTTTGCCACCGTCCTTGCCCTTGCCGCCTTTGCCGCCTTTCCCGGCTGCCTTGCCGCCGGCCGCCGCGCTCTCGTCCACTACTCCATCGATTCGTCCCTTGAAGAAACCTCGAGCCGCCTGGATCTTGTTCATCTTTAGCCTGCTCTCGCGCAGCGTGACGAGGGCCTGCTGGTACTCGTCGTCCTCGCTCGCGAGGTAGACGTCGGTGTCGTCCTCGATGTAGAACATGTCGCTGCTGTCCCAGCTGTCGTCGCCGTCCTCCGCGAACGCGTAGACACCGTGCTCCTTGTCCCACTCGTACCAGTAGCCGTCGTCGTCCTGGACCCAGTACCCGTCATGCTCGACGTTCTGGTCCTCGTCCTCCGGGTCGCGCTCGCCGTCGTTTTAGTTCGCCCATCGCCAGCTCGTTCTTGATCCCTGTCGATCCCGGTGCCGACCTCCACCTCGTGGGAAGAGGTTCTTCAGCGTCGTGCTAATCTTCTGGAAGTTGAAGGTCTCTTCTGCACGTGCTATCACTAGATTGCGCTCGTCCTTGTCCAGTCCGCTTCTCTTCAGCGTGTGGTACCCTAGCTCGTTCGCACTGATCTTCGTGTCTGGGTCCACTTCCTCGAGATTGCGCTTCGCCACCTCCATCGCCGTACAAAACGCCGCCATCGGCTCTTCGCCCTTCTTCTCGAAGTGTGTCTGGTCGAAGAACGCGTCGAACGCCTTCGGCAGCTCCCTGAAACTGCTCTTGGCGAAGCGCTGCTCTTCGAGGAATCGCAGTAGTATCTGGGCGCCATCCTCCGTCGCGTAGTCTTTCGGGGTCGTCTGTTCGATCAGCACGCTGATGGAGTTGTCCGCGCCCAGCAGGTTCCTATACAGCTTCGGACCGAGCGCCTGCTTTGACTCCTTGCTCTCGCAGCTCAGCTCCGCTGCTTGAACCGCTCTCTTGTACCTGGTGAAATCCTTCAACGTTTCTCCCTTCCAGCAGCGGTATCTTCGGGTCCACCGCACTATTGTACTCCGACATGTTCATAGTCTCCGAGATGGCTAGTCTCGATCTTCTCTATGTCCGTCTTGTGGAGCTGTGGGGCCAACCACAGGCTCCGCTACCAACCTCGTTCTCGCTGGAGCTCTCCCTCGCTCGATCGGGTCGTCGGCGAGGTTCGTCCCAGCTCAAACTCCGTCGTCTCTGCCGAAACCTCTATGGCTCCTCTACCCCGATGCTCCTGCTGTGGGGGAGGGGAGCCGCCTTTATCAGCTCGAGCCCAAGCGCCGGCGCTGCATACACGCATGTTATTCACTTGCAACATCCTAGATTCCCAGGGCAAATCCTCCGGAAATCTTCAGAAATCACATGCTGGGCCTATCGATAGGCCTTCTCAGGGCCTGTGCGCCTCGTCCGTCATAGGCCTATGCATAGGCTACGCACAGGCCTATGATAGGCCTGTGCACAGGCTGTGCGTAGGGTCAGAGACCCTTCCGCCCTCCAGGGGGAGCTCGCACCAGGAGAGGCGGGCCCCCTTTTCCGCTCGGGCCATCCTGGGGCCGACTCGGGCGTTCTTGGGCCGTCAATGATGGCCCAAGAGGCCTTAATGTCGGAGGCCATCTTGGGCCGCCCTGGGGCAACCTTGGGCCGTCTTGGAGGCGTCGTGAACCATCTTGGCGGCCTTGATTGCGTGCCTCGGCCCTCGGGGAAGCCCAGGAGCGCGAATCCAAGACGCCCAAGTCGGATCGGAGCAGACTTGAGAGAGAGAGCGCTTCATGCACATACACTGTCGGAGCTCCGCGCGGATTTCTTGGGTCGGCGCTGGACCTCCTGGCGGCGCCTACGTCGCCGCCCCTGGCGCGCCTCCGCGCGCCAGGCAGGGAGAGGGGGGTCGGCGCCGATCCAAGAAAATCGCGCGGACCTCCGAAAGTTCATGCGTATGATGTTTTTCCTTCTTCTGTCGATTGAGTAGGATGATCGCGCTGCACTGCCGATGCATCAGCGATGCGGCACGATCCGCAGCCCGATCCTCGCTATCTCGACATCAGAGATGCATCGCCAGTGCGGTGCGGGGCTCGGGCCCTGTCTGCTCCGACCCCGTTTGCGCGGCCTCCGTATGCGAAGCCTGCGAAGCCCTTCTGCCTTCTCTCGGGGAAACGTAAGACTCGAGTTTGCCTTTGACGGGCCCGTCCGGGATTTTGACTGTTCGGTGTTTGTTGGATGTTTGCAGCGGGAGTTCGCGTGACAGTTCAGATTGGGTCTCGTCATTTTCCTGACGGCAATATCAGGCCAACCCGATTCTCCCGAACCCAAGTCTTACATCTCCCCGATTCTCAGAGGAGTGAGAGGTAATGATAAGGATGCTTCTGGGATTTCCAGGTTTCGTGTAGCCCCGCGCGACCAGAGACGAGCGGCAGAGTACGAGTGGCCGAGGGCCGCCGGCAACTCTTTGATTTCCAGGGCGTACTTGACGGCCTTCGCCCCAGCCCGCCACCGTGCTTGGGTTGTGGGGATGAAGCCTATTGGATGTTCGTTGGGGTCTCGTGGGAGGCTTCTCGGGGGCCTCTTGGAGGCAGTTTGGTCGCCACTTAAGGGCCGTTTTGGGGTCTCTTGGGGTCTCTTTTGGGCCTCTCGGGGACTTGGGGGCCTGTTGGGGCCTCCTGAGCGCCTGTTGGGGCCTCCTGGGGGCCTCTGGTCTTGGGGCGGAAGGTTCGGATTTTCGGCGCGTGTTCCCTCTTTAGGGCCCATTTTGGGGGCGTCTTGGGCGCCTCTTGGGCTGTCTTGGGGCCCGCTTGGGCTTTTTGGGGCGCTCTTGGGGGCCTCTTGGGCTGGCTGGGTGCGGTCTTGGTGGCCTCCAGCGGAAGCCGTCAAGGCGACATTGCCGAAATTCTAGACGCCTCGCGTATCCCCACCAGCCCGTCCAGAAACGACGCCCAGGCGAGTAGAGGGTCGTCCTGAGGGGCTTTTCGGCGTCTTGGGTGCCTCGGGGGGGCCTCTTTGGGCCGTTTGGGATCCTCTTGGGGGCCTCCTGGGGGCCTCTTGGGGCCATCTTGGGGCCTCTTGGTGCCTCCTGGGCGCTTCTTGGGGCCATCTTGGAGGAAATCGATCAAAGAAGAGGGGAGCTTCAATTAGTGCTGCCCCCTCTGGGGGCCAAAATGGGGCCAAAACCTTAGTAAAATCAATGATTTTGGCTTCCTCGGCGAGGCCGTTTTGGACGCTCTGACCGCTCCCCGCCCCCCCTGTCCAGGTCAGTGGGGAGGGGGTAGGGGGAGGGGTAAACCCCTCCCCGAAGGGGAAGAAGGAGGGGTGGAAGAGGAAACGCTCTAAACCACCGACGCCCAGAGGGCTGATGGGATTCTTTGAAAATCTATGGAAAATCAGTGATTTGGTCGACTCGGGGCCCTTGGACCGTCTTGGAGGCCTCTGGGGCTCGTCTCGGGACCCTCTTGGGCCCGACCGCGGGAAGCTCCAGGGGGCACGCGCTAAGCCCAAGAAGATTTGAGAATTTGGGGTCCAGGCCCCTCAGTTGACTCCTCAGGACTGAGGACTGAGGCTCATTGGATCGGGCAGTGGACCTGAGGACACGCCCACTCCGTGCCCAGAGGCACGGTGCCGGATCTTTGTAGCCAATCGGATACATAGAGCTGTCGTTCCGAAGAAAACCGCCCCTTCTGCGATCGCGCCTGAAGGGAGAGGGGGATTGGGCAGACTAGGTGCTTTCGCGACATAGCTGACGTTCTACCCCATTCCCCCATTCTTCAGCATTGCGTAGAGCCCCTCTCTATTCGCATCGTCGGGTGTCGAGGGAGACATTGATGTCGAAAGGGTAAACGATGCGCTGTCCAGCATGGCTCAGCATGGCTTTGCGCAGGAAGGCATGGCAGAACGTAGCATGGCGTGGGATGGTGTTGCGTTGCGTAGGAACCAGGGCGGGGAGACGTGATCCGATAGTCAGTCGCCCCTCGTGTGTGCCCTGCTGCTGCCGCCGCCGCTTCCTTTCACATAGGTTGGCGCCGGCAGCGATGTCAGTGACATCAGAGCTATCGTTCGCTCGCGCGCCGTCCTTCCAGTCGGGCGCTTCTTCCTACACACTTCCTATTCCCAGCCCATTTGCTTACCGGATACGAAGAGTATCCATGGCGACAGGTACATCCCTACTAGGCGGAATCTGATACAATTAGAAGATCATTTGCGCAAGCAAGGACATCCGCATCGGTAACCGATCAGCAGGACCAGCATACTGCCCGACTCCATGATGAATCGACAAAAACCGTTTATCAGCCGAACGATTCACCACGATATCATGAACCTGTGCTTCATGCCTTGAATGTGGATGTACGGTGCCGGCTAACGAAGAACAAACCACGGCTCAATGAAGAATCCAAAATATTGTCTTCCAGCCCATGCCCCTTGGAGTGTGTTATGGACTCCGACCCGCGTTCTTCGCAAAATCTCCGCAGGAGTTTCTCGCTGTCGTTGGAAGATGACACCGGCGGAGGGAGGCCCTGGCCGTCGTGACACACCACGAGCGGACGCGAACAATGCGGAGGCATACGCCGAATGGTATGGGCCAAGCAACTTGGACGAGCAATCATTGCCGCCCAGCGTTCATCAAGCCTACGCGATCTCCTCCGATTCGGATGAAGATATTGGCGATCACGCGTCCGTCACGTCGGAAAAAGAGGGATCAAGTCGACTCCGCCCGCCTAGACCGGGGAACGATGACGAGTGTCATCTGGGGGTGATTCCGAGGCCCCTGGCCTCGGGTCATCCCCGAAATCGGCTCACGAACCGCCGCTGACGCCAGTGCCTTTTGACGATTGCGTCGCAGAGACTTCGTGGGGAGACTTGCAAGGGGAAGTGGTGGAGATGATGGCCGGAATGCCTGCGGCCGCTCAGCAGAAAACCGAAGAGGCAATTTCGCGCGCTGGGCGCCTTGACCTCAGTGCGGCGAGGGCCCCCATCCCCCGCGCTCGCACTCCGCAGGCCAGGGGCGCGGGGCCCGACCGACGAAGGACCGCGACGGCCCAGTCGGGCGCGTTGTCATTCTCCGCTCGCGCGGCGCGATGCGTTGAATTTCCGCATTTCCGCATCGATGAGTCGCGCGCTAACGGGGGCCCCGGGTGCGCAGCGTTCCCTGGGCGCTGCTGCCAGGAAAGTCGAGGACAGTGTAAGGGGGCAGTCTGTCGTGCGCGTTCGATCAGCTGCCGCCGGCGCAACTCGATGCCCCTCCGCGTGGACTGCCCCCGCCCCCCCCCCCCCCGCGCGCACGCGCGCGGCGCTGCGCGGCCTCGAACGGGGGCGGGCCGGGGGGAACGCGGGGGCAATTGCCGAAGAAAGGAGCCGGGAGACGGCGCGAATGAGAGACCAGATCACGATGATTGAAGTGCAACGGCGCGCAGCTACTCGCGTTCAGGCTGAGAACGACCGCGTCGCGATGATTCGCTCCCCGGCTCAGGCTGAGGAGAGGCAGCGGGCTTTCGCCGCGGGGCAGGCGGCGCGAGCATCGGCGGAGCTCCGCGAGCTGGCCGGCAAGGTCGAGGCCCCGGCAGCCGCCGAGAAACGCGCCCAAGCCCTCGAGCAGGGCATCGCAGCGGAGGCTTTGCGCGTCGCCCGGGGGGCTGGGGAGGCCCAGCAAATGTCGGTGGCTAGAGTCGCCGAGATGCTCGGGGCGGCTCAGGCGCGTGGCGCCGTTCTTGGGGCGGGGGCGAAGGCGGCGGTTCAACGGGCTTGGGCAGATCGACTAATCGCCGCGGTTGTTGCGAGGGGGGCGTCGGCCGAGAGCGCAGAGGCGATGAGGCAGGCGCGGGGCGATGTCAGCAGCGCTCGTCAACAGGCGCATGCCACTGCCCGAGCGGCAAGCGCGAACTGCGATCGCGCTGCCGACGAAGTTCGCGACGCACTGGGAAAGGCCGCAGAGCAGCAGGCGACTGGCGAGGTGAGCATCGTGGCGCTGCGTACTGAGATAGGAGCGTCGTGGCCCATGGAGAATTGGGGGGGCGCGGCGCGAACAACTGCGCCGGCGGCGAGCTGAACTTCGCGCGCGCCAGCAGTTGGAGAAGCAACCTGCCCGGATTGACCTTGGAGCGGCTAAGGTCGCTCGTCGCGGCCGACGCGGCTCCTCCGCGGGTGGGGCTACGGCGTTCCTTGTGCAACAGGGCTGCGGGCCGCGATTGCGCGCTGCGCACGAGGCCATTCTGCGGCGTTCGCCAGGGCGCGACTGAGAGGGAATGCGACGCCTGCGCCGATTTCTCGGCAGAGCGGACCGAGAAGCCGGGGGGGGCGCGAGAGCAGTGGAAGATGAACGTGAAGCGAGAAGCTCTAGGAACTGATCGCCTCCCAAACCGCACTCGGAGCGGGGCCCTTTGATTGCCCGCCGCTGCCCAAGGCGTCTCGCGACTGCGTCGCGAGCGCCTCGGGGCGCGCGGAGGAGCAGAGGGCTGTCTCCAGACAGCCGAAGGCTTTCGACGACGCTGCCGGGCCCGGGCGCCAGAGGCTCGCGGAGGCGCCCGCGGGGGCGACGCGGAGCGTGGATGCCGCGCCGAGGCGGGGGCCAGGAGACAGGGGCGCCGGGCTGAGATGCGCGCGGAGGCTGCCGCCGCCGCTGAGAAAAGGGCCCAGGAAGAGGAGAAATCCAGGGGGGCGACAGAGACCGCTCAGGTGGCCCCAGCCATTTCTTTTCCTGGCTACGATCCTCCTGGCCCGAACCTGGCGGCGGCGGGGGCGCCGGGGGGGGGCGGGGCGATGTCTTGCACTTTTGGCGAATTTTCTAGAGGATATGGGAAACTCATTGTCATTGGTGTGACTTCTTAACGCGCGCCTCCGAAATGCGGTGAACGTTGCTTCTAGTTCGCGGCGTAGCGGTGATAAGGTTCATTGGGCCGCCGCGCAATCGCGCTGGCTTAGACCGATACCGATGCCTGACTTGAGACAGTGGTTAACGAAGGGACACTACAATGATGTCCAGGACGTGGCCGCTTGGTGAGGTGTATCCTTCAACTGATATAGTTTTTGTTTCGACATTTCCCCGCCAGTTGGACGACGATTCGGCCGATGGGGGGTATTGGAATGAAGGCTCGCCGTGGCCTGGGGATTTGCGGGACCTCTTTCGGGGACTTTCGCGTGCCTCCCCGAGGCCGCTTGGGGCCGCCCCAAAGTGGTGCTGCACATCTGGAGGTTCCACACGATACGAAACCGTTCAACAGTCAAGAGCGTCGTCTCGGAGGGGCAACAAAAACCATTGCCATGCAATTATCCCATATTTCAATGTTTTCTTGTTCCGCGCGGGTTCTGAAGGCAAATCCAGGAAACAAAAGAATGTACGCCCTCTTGGAAAAGTGTTGCAACTATTCTTTCGATTTCTGCCCCCCCCCCCCCAGACCCCCGATCTCAATCTTGGGTCAGCTGCTGCGGCCGACGGCGGGAGAATCGAATCGCGCAGCGCCCCGCGTGAATTTTGAGATTCAGGAGTGCGGGGAGACGAGCCGCGCGCGAGAGTTGTTTTTTTCAGGGTGGTGTATCCTCCTCCTCCCTGCCTCTCCTCTCCCCTTCCTCTCTTCTCTCGTCCTGCGCCCCCGCCGCCTCGTTGCCGCCGTCGTGTCGTCCGTCGTTCTCGCCGCCGTCGCGCGTCTTCGCCACCGCCGCCGTCGGTGGTCGCCCTTTCATATTCTGCCTGGACTTCGCGCCCCCGCGCGGGCGCGCATGAGGCCAATCCAGAATCTCCGAGTGCCCTCCCCACTCCCCGAGATTGCACCGGTGCAATCCGGCCAGGGCCTTGGAGTAAAATTGGACCACTTCACCAGTGAAGGCGGACGTGCGAGGCACTGGCTTGGCTTCTTGGATGGAACCCGTTCGCAGCCTGCTATTCATCCCCTGGCAATACTGGCGGTTACGGGGTGGGCGGGGAGGGTGGTGTCGAGGGGGCTGGTAACGCCACGATGCGCGCCAGCGCTGTTTGGGAAGTAACAACCCCCAGCAATTCTCAGCTCGCGCCGGCGCGAACCGTGACGTTATCAGGTGGGAGAGAGCGTGATCCACCGCCGCTTTACTGTGGAAAATTGCCAACCTTTTCCTCCGGAGCCCGGGGGTCGCCCCCCCCCCTCCGAAAATCCCCCCCCCCCTGCTGGAACCCCTCCCCCCCCCCCCTCTCCCCCGGCAAAACCCCCCCCCCCCCTAACCCCCCCCCCCCCTCCTCGAAAACCGGGGGGGGTCACTACCGGTTCGAACCCCTCCCCCCCCCCCTCCGGATCCGGAAAACCGAGGGGGAACCCCTCCCCCCCGGATCCGGAAACCGGAGGGGGTCACTACCGGTTCGAACCCCCCCCCCCCCCTATTCACCGCCAGCAAACGACTCCCGGTCCCCACCACCGTCCGCATCACATCCCCCACTGGTGTTCCCAGCACCACTGTCCTCACCACCGCTGTCCCCACTGGTTCCACCACCGCCCCTACTGTCCCCACCAGTGGCCCCACCACTGTCGCACTGTCCCCGCTGTCCCCAGAACTGTTCCCACCACGGTTCCACTCTCCCCACTGTCTCCACGGCCCCAACCACTGCCCGACTATCCCCACTGTCCCCACTGTCCCACTGACTCCTCCGCTGTCCCACTGAGCTGTCCCACTGTTCCCACCACTGTCCCCACTGTCCCCACCACTGTCCCCACTGTACCTTTGTCCCATTGTCCCACCGCCGTCCTCGCCACCGCCTTCACCACTGTCCCCACCACCATTGTACCCTCCACTGTCCCACTGTTTCCACCTCATTCCCATTGTCCCCACACCGCTGTCCCCACCACCACCGTCACCACCACTGTCCACTGTCCCCCCTTGTTCCCACCATTGTCCCCACCACTGTCCCCACCACTACCGTCCCCACCACTGTCCCACTGTCCGCACCACTGTCCCGCTATCCCCTCGCCACTGTCCCCACCAACACCGTACCCACCACTGTCCGCACCCCCACTCGGTTTTCGACGGGGGGGGGGGGTTCGAACCGGTAGTGACCCCCCCCGGTTTTCGAGGGGGGGGGGAGGGGAGGGGTTCGAACCGGTAGTGACCCCCCCCCCCTTTTCATGATGAGCTGGGGGGGGGGGGGGGAAGGGGTTCGAACCGGTAGTGACCCCCCCCGGTTTTCCGGAGGGGGGGGGGGGGGAGGGGTTCGAACTGGTAGTGACCCCCCCCGGTTTTCCGCCAGCAGCGGTAGAACACGCTCTTTCTCAGGTGGGGAGAGGGGGGGGAGCATGTCCGGTAACGGCCGTTGTCGCGACTTGAAAGAAATGCTCTTGTGGAGCCCAAGGTCAGGCTTGCTGAGTGCCAGTACGTCCTCGCCGCCTCTTCGCCGCCGCGCCAGCCCGCGCGCGGCGCCTCGGGTTGCTTACAGGAGTCCGTTCGGTTCTCCAACTTCTCGGTGGGGGTGGCGCCCACCCTGCCGCCAACGGCGGCGCCCACTCCGGTGCCGCAGGGGACCAGAGGAGTAAAAGGTACCGATGCCGCTACCCTTCTCTGGTTTTCGCCTTTCTGGGCCTCATGGGAGTCCCTCGTCGCCACCGCTGGATTCGCTTCGAGATCGTGGTCAGAACGCACCGTGGGAGAGGTCTGGGGAGTAGCAGTATTGATACCTTTCCACAGGGCGGTGGCCCTTTCAGGCAAGCCCAGGATGAGGATATATAGGCCTGCCGAGTGCTAGGATGCAGCTTCTTGGATGTCAAATTCAGATTCGTCGCTGGTACATCCGTGGTCGAAACATTGCCCAATCGGGCAGACTCCTTTAATCCTGTCTAGTCTCGTTTAATCCAGTTTTGATCCAGCCTAGTACCGCTTAGTCTGGCTTCCTCCTGGGCTTGATCTGGGCGAATCTGGCCAAGTTGTCTTTTAATAGTTCTTACAAGGACCTCCTCGGAGTAGCTTTCTAACAAAGCGGTGCCGAGTAGATGGGGTCGGATGATCGCGCCGCATCGCCGATGTTTCGGCGATGCGGCTCGATGTGGAACCCGATTTTATCAACGCCGACGGCGCGCCCTGTTGGAGCGCTCCTGGAGCGCCCCGGGGGAGTCGGCCCGGCATCGGCTGGGCATCGCCCGGGGTATTTGTCGTCTGGGGGTCCTCAGGGGCCGCCACGCGCGCGCGAACTTGAATTTTTGTTAACCTGTTGCCGGAGATCTTAGCACGCCTTTGGCCCGTTGGGCCGGCGAAGTGTGGCACGTCTGCTGCATGCTCGTGTTTGTACGTTCTGGCATGTTGGCATGCTATTCGCTGCTATGGTGGGCGTGCGATGTGTTGTGCTACGCCGTGTTGGGCGGACCGCGTGTTTCGTGTGAGACTTCGTCACGAGGCCCGTCGTCGTTATTTCCACCACTGTCGGAGTTCAGAAATCGCAATTGCTCGTCTGATCACATGGTAGATACCCCGCTGTGCACTGGCGCACGCGAAAAGACGCGCAAAATACGCACACGCGCATGACGCGTGTTGGATACCTCGCTTTCACCCGCGTGCATGTCTGTGTGTTGGATAACGCGCATGCTCCAAACACATTGGTGAAAGCCCAGTGGATCGATCAAGATGTCGAGCACACTTTCCTCACGAGGCCAGCGCTCACCGTCTGAGTCTCCTGGCCTGCAGCGCGAGCCTCGCACGACACAGTACAGCGTGAGGAAGGGTATGGCAGGAGATGTGGTTGGACATCGGGATTATGATCTGGGAGTCAGAAGAAAGACGGGGGAAAGCCATCCCGAGCAGGATATGGCTGCGGGAGGCACAGGGCAGGGAAAAGTGGGGCTGAAAGGAAGGGCGTAGGCGCACTAAGCACAACACAAACTTACAGCTTCCGAAAATCTCTGTTCCTTTTAGCCATCTAGACGCATGCTCAATGTTCATCGCTCGGGTCAATGCCCTGCCTAACTTCGCACTTTATGAGTCGCCAGCGTGTCCTCCTCCTTCAATATGCATTGCGACTCGTGCTTCATGAGATCCACCATCAAATCCATCTCCGCCTTGCGTTTAGTAAGCCCATCCACCAGCATAGCAGGGTGGTCCACCCACCGGATCTCGCAGCCCAGCGCATTCATCGCCTGCCTGATGATCTGGATCTGAGTAGACCACTTTCGATCCCGTCCTCCTGTCGTCTTCCTCTGCAGGTAATCGTACAGTGACTTGGCGTCCACGACACACAGTCCCTTCCGTAGCATTTCCGCGCTCTCCTCCTCCACGTTCTTTCCAGCCAGGGCCAACAACCTGCTATGCTCACACCACCTGTCCCACTCGTCCAGCTGGAACCCTGAGAATGCGAACTCGTGGCACAACGTAACAGTCCATCCCAATTCCGCAACGCCCGTGTTGAGAGCCCGTGTCTCTCGGCGTGTAGTGTAGAGTCCACCGCTCGGGTCATTCGAGAGTTTCTCCATGCCAACAGACTAGCAGGCCCGCGCTTTCCAGCAGCAGCCTCACGCGTCGTGGCAAGTACTGCATCTGCTTCCTATGATCCCCCTTGGCTACTATAGTGAAGACTAGCGTCCGAAACCGAGACCCACATCAACTTCTCAAAAGGAATTCGCCACACTGTGATACCCAACTCCGCAGTCTCCTTCATGTGCTTCACCAGCTGGTTGATCTCCTTCACGTCGTCGTGCGTCAGCTTGCACCACGCCTGCTGTGGTAGACTGCATTTTCCCGTGCCGTGCGCTCGAAGTTCTCGCGTCAGCCAATTGAGAGACCCAAGCACCGCACGTGCCTGACTGCATTCTCTGGGCGTGCAGCCCTCGCCTTCGTTCTTCTCTTTGGTTATCCTCACCGGCGCAAGCCTCGTCTCGATGAACTTCTCCATAGTCACATTGGGAATCGAAGCCCTCGTCCTCCGCGTAATGACGGCCATTGATCATCGCGCCCGCAGAGTCCTTCCGCAGAGACTTTACCCTCCCGAATCTCCTGACCTCCCCGAGCTGGTTCATCTTCTCCTGGTGCCGTCCGCCACCGACATCAAAGGTATCGGCGACCTCCGCGACCACAATCCCCTTGACGTCCGCCTGGTACTGGATACCAGTCAGTGCGCCCCTTCCGCACCACCATTTTTTCGCCCTGCCTGCTCTCTCTCTCCTTGCACGCGCTGTCCGTCTGCTGTGCTGACTGACTTCTTTTGCTCCCGCAGCTACATACTTTGGCTCTAGGGAAACGGAAAAGGAGCGAGCCTGCGGCGCGCGCGCGTGCGTCGGCTGGCGGGCTAGCTTCCTCCCTTCAGTGCTACGTTAGCGTATGCTTGATGGCATTTTCCACTTTTACCCATGTCATCTGTGGGGCCCACTGACCCTGGTATATCATCGGAACACATTGCAGGGATAATGATTTCCAGGCAGAAGACTGGTTATCATTCGAATCGACGGCACAGCCGTTCGCTTCGCAGAGCATGGGATCTCAAGAAGGAGCGCTCGGGCGAGCAGAATATCGAATGCCTTCCGATCGTAACGCAAGTATGAGCGCTTCAACGAGGCGACCAAATCCTTTTAACCTTCCCAGCAAGAAAGCACCAGAGACCATGTTCGACTTAACAGAAGGGGATTCATCGGGCGATTCAGTGACAACATTCAGAGAACCACGCCCGAGCGGAAGGTATGGCGCAGCCAAAACTTCTGCCGAGGGACCCTCTGAGTTGGTGTCGGTGTACCCTGGCTTTCAGCCATCGATCGACGCAGATCTCGAAATGGAAAAGTTGTTGGGTCAGATCTCCATCGAAACCTCCGGCGCCGAAGGTCTGGGCGCCGAGCTCGCTGTGCAATGTGCGTTGTGCGTGGACAGAGTGAGGATGTCAGCGGTTTACAATCTGAAGGGGATGGCTCCCATTCGATAGAACAGAACGAGGAATATGCCCGATTTCGCACCTCGCCTGGTCCGTCGCGCCATCTCGATCCTCTCCATGATCTGTGTGTCGGCGTCGCTCCTGACCGTGTAACGATAGAGGCATGTCAGGGGGCCATCCTTGATTCGGACGATGACTTTAAAGTCGGAGAATGCCCAGATCAAGGTGAATGCCCATCGGCACAGCCGATATCGAGCTACCCCGACGCAGTGCGCGCAGTGAGAAATACGCGAGAAATTCATGCATGCTTCCTCGCCCGCTAACGAAGAATCCGAAGGGTGAGGATGATGACTTGAGTACCTCGCCCTTATCGCAGGGTTTTTACAGACCAGACTTCTCATTACCCAGATCAAACAGAGATAAAGTACCAGAACTTGATGAGCTCGTTGCGCAGGGCGAAAGAGACGACCTGGCAAGGAGCATGGACGTTGACACCATCAAAAGGGGTGCAAGGACGAGAGAACAACACGCGCCGACCCTAGGCAGCGAAAGGGGGCGCTCCAGTGAGGCCCCCAGGGCAGGGCGTTCCAGTTCCCGAGGGTTTAATGATTTCGATTCGCCGCAAATGTCATGAATATAACGACCGGCAGCTTCTCGATGCGGGGGGCCGGTGGAACGCCGGGCCATCGTGCCCCGCTCGGGCGGAGAATCGGCGCCCGGGGAAAGCGTTCAAACCGGGGGGGCCATGTCGAATGCCAGCGCGTTCTCAATGTTCGAATGTTTGCCCCAAATGTCGCCCAGCATGGTTTTGTGACGAGCGCGTCGCGATGGAAGAGCACAATTGCCATCGCCTCGCGATTCAAGAGTGGGCGGAAAGAAACAGACAGGATCGAGAACGGCTAAGGGCTGCGAGTGCGCGCGTGCAACATATTATCACTGAGGCACAGGGGAATAGGAAGGCCGCCGAAGAGGCTCAACGACAGCTTGCGGTTTCCGAGGCTGAGAGACAAGCAATTGCACGACAGATGGAACAGGAGAGACCCATCATTGTGGAAAACGCGCAGACACTGTTGCAGCATGCTGAGGCCAACGCAGCAGGCGTTACTGACGAAGCGCACCGGCGTCTTGCTCAAGAGGAAATTGTACCATCGGGAATCCAGAGCATAGCCGAAAAACAGGTGCCCGACTCTCAGCAGAAAGCCGAAAGAGAGAAAGCTGAATGCAGAGGGGGGGGCTGATGCTGCAAGGAGGGGGGGAGAGAAAGGGGCCCGAGAACAGGCGGCGCGAGAAAATCCGGAGCCCCGCAATCAACCTGAAGCTGCTAGACTCGAGGCCGAAAGAGTGAAGCCTGAGGCGCTGCGAGCCCTTCGAGGGCAATGACAGAGGACCCAGGCAACCAGAGAAGAGGGCCATGTAAGAGGGGCCGATACCTGGGGCCGTCTGAAGGGGCACGCAGGATAACATATAAGAAACAACGTTCTTGCAACTCGGGCCGTAAGCGAGGAAAACCGAAGGTTGAGGTCTAACCTTGAGCAACGACGGATCGAGAAAGAGGTTGATTCGACACCGGCACAGCCGGCGCATGTTGAGCCGCCTCCTCGCCCAATTGCTGATCGCCCTATCAGGGCGCCTGGCGCGTCGCGAGCGCGCGCGCGATCGGGCGCCCC